TGATCAATTGATCAAGGGCATTTGATTAGCAGCACCTGGCTGCTACTTAGCCTCTCCGTACCTATGGAAGCACTTATTCATGCAAGGCAGGCTCAGTGTCCACCTCTTGATCCTTGCTCATCAACTAACAGAATGGCTGATTAGGACCACACCAATCAAGACCTTTTTAATTCCTTCTTGAGAGAGGGAGCGGTAAAAACCTTTTTTGAAGAAGCAGGAATCTTTAAAAAATGTGTTAAGTCCAGAAATAGTGAAAAAGTACAGGCCTGTTGCTCACATTCCCATTTTGGGTAAGGTTCTCAAGAAAGTGGTTGCCTACCAACTTCAGTTTAGAAGAAACTGCTTCTCTAAACTAATTTTATACCTTATGGGATTATCTTTGCCTAGAGAAATAAGGAGGTTAAATTTTGCTGATTCTCCTGGAGTTTTCAGCAGCTTTTAGTATCACTGATCATGACATCCTTCTGGAAGAACTATCAGAATTAAGTATGGAAAACACTGCTTTACAATTATTCTATTTCTATCTGACTGACCATTTCCAGAGGTCAGGGCTGGGAATTTATAATTTCATGGAAGTTGTAATTACTGCCTATTGTTTCCTCAGATTCAATTTTACACCCCACCCCCAATATTATTTAATGACCTATATAAATAACATAAGGCTTTAGGCTGAGCTATAATCTCCCAATTATATTAGCCCTCACCCAGTTAATTACTATGCTCAGTGGAAGGCTAATAAATGGAAGTTCAATCCAAACAAGAGGAGTGTACTGTTAGTGGGGGGCCTCTCTATCCGGGGGAGTGCTGCTCAATCTGTTCTGGAGGGTGCTGCTGCCTCCAGGAAAGTTCAGGCACCAGTTTTTAGTGATCTCTTTTATCAGTCACTGTCACAGGACTCTAACAGTGCCTTTTATCATTTTAGAATAATATACTATCCACAACCCTTTCTAGGCAAGGGTTGTGGATAGTATATTTGGCCTAGGCAACCCTTTCTAGGCCAAATAGTAATTTCGTGGTTGAATTACTGCAATGCAATGCATACATTGAAGATAGTTCATGACCACGTAATCCACAATAGAGCTGCAGGATTACTATCTGGGACTAGACAATATAATTAAGTCACACCACTGTTTCATCAGCTGCACTGGCTATTAGTTATTTTTGAGACCATTTCAATATTTTATTACTGCTTTCTAAAGTCATAAACAATTTGGGGACACAGCACCCCATAGCATATTAAGGAATGTTACCTCCTATATGTACCCTTTATCTTCAGAAGCCTCCCACCTCAAATTATCCCATCAAATTAAATTAAGTGGTTAGCTGCAAAGGAGAAAGTCATCTCAATTCTGGGCCCTCTTTATTGAACACATTCCCCACTAGTATAACTAGTGCCCACTCTGATGTCCCTTCACCATTCTTCCACCAAGAAAGGTTTCAATATTTCACTTCTACAAGGTATTCTACAGTTCTGTAGTCAACTTACTTCCAAGTTCCGTATGACAGTGGATTTTATTTGCTCGTACACTATTTAAAAATTGCATTTTGTTTTTCTCAATGATCTACTATTTTTCTGAGTTTAGTATTTTAGTAATTTTAATGTGTTTAGTAATTTTGTAATCCATCCAGAAATTCAGAATATTGAATTAGAGTGTAATAAAATAAAATGTATTTGACCTACTGCAATACAAAAAGTCACTCTACAGACTCAAAACTACAGATCTTTGATAAGTCTTTAGTCAGCCACTCAAACTGGCTCTCATGACTGAATCAATCAATACCTGTTTGTGCACATCTGTGGGGGAGAAATCTCCAAAGGCCTGCCAACCATTCTCATCATCTTCATAAAAACGCACCTCGATATCATCTAGCAGAGGAGGTAAAAAATGGTAACATCAGACTATTAATACTTGTTGCAACCCTACTTTTGTCCCATTCACTACATTCTAAATCAAGACAGACTTTTTCTCTTAAGTTAAGAAAAATATAGTGGTGGACTAGATGAGGGCAAAAAAATGAACCAAATCTGATAAGTCAAAAGCAGTGCACTTATGCCATTATCTTGTACAGGAATTAAGGACATTGACTGCACTGGATGAGGTTGTACCTCCTCCTCTGATGGAGCAAACATGCAGTTTGATGGACTTCTTGAACTACTGTTTTCCATACTGGTGCAAGTGTCTTGCATAGCAAGAACTGTTTTTTCCCTGCACCAACTCATTTGGTAACAATGGTTGTCCCTAACAAGGAACAGTTTGCCAAAATAATGCTTGAACTGGTAATATCCAAACTGAATTACCACAATGTGTTTTACATGGGGTAGCATTTGAAATTGCTCAGAAACTACAGTTCATGTTGAGTCCCTTGGTAATAAAAAAAAAAATTACATTAGGTTCTAAAGAAACAGCACTGGCAGCAAATCTATTACTGAGTAACTACAATGTTTTGTGTTAATCTAAAAAGCCCTCCATACCTTAAAACCACAGATTAAAATCTGACAAGGGTGTCCACTCAGAAGTACCACATTGGTCAAGAATTGTTTATGCAGCAATCTGAAGGAGAACATGCATGGTAGAGGTAAAATAAGATATTTTCTTATCACTAGCTGCTGGCACCAGGCCTTGTGTTTGCTCTAAACACTTATTTGCTTGCATGTGCTTTTCATTGAATCTGTACTACCATCTCTCTTGCTGGTCTTGTTGCCTAGGCTTAATTACTTTATTATGTTGTAGTTTTTATAACTATATTTGGTTTTATATATTTAACAATTGTTTTATTCTATTGTAGTTGTAGACTTTAATCTGCTTTTCTCATTTATTTTATTTTATTATATTATACACTCCATTTGGGATTATGCTTATCAATAAAAAGTAGAAAATTGGTTGATGCTAATTACTATTCCAGACCAATATAATATGTTATGAAACTAAAGTCAAAAACATGCAGTCTTAAAATCTGGAAAGAGGAGGGTGCTATCCCAAATTCTACTAAAAATTATTTTATTGCAGCCTGATACATTTTGGAAATGGATTTCTTTCTCAAGGACAAGGACAGTCAAATGCATATGTTTCTAAAAAATAACATTTTTGTATTTGCTTGTTTAGATTAACTATTGGAGGCATGAATGTTGCTGAAATAAGCATGAAAGTGAGTATTAACAAGGATTATTAACATTCTTAAAACATATGTTTCCTTCATATTGTTCAAAAAAATGAAATGAAGATTGCCACAAAGATAACATGAAGCACTGAATTTATTATACCTACTAAAATATCTGTACTTTCTCTTCAGATACCTACAGAACATTTAGTGGCAGGGTAACACTTATTAAAACTATAACAAAATTAACCTGCATCATATGCAAAACCTTACCTCAATGCATATAGAAGTGAAAGAAGAATGCATAAATAAATAAATAAGCAAGCAAGCAAACCAGGATTAGATACAGTGTTTACCTTTCTGAACTTTATCACACAGCAGATATACTTCATCTCCACCTCGCACTGAGCCTGCAGTCTTATCCATCCGAGATATCTTTAGGTTGGAAGCTCCAGGAGACTCTGTAGAAAAAAAAAAGTCAGGGATGTGTAAAATTGCTTCTGGAACAATTGTACAAATATGAAAACACACTAGATCATCGTAAAGCTCAGATTTGTAAGTTTTGGCTTATCGTAGTAAACTGTGAAGAATATAGAAAATTAGGAGAAAGAGCTACATTTCAATTTGTGGCAAGCTCTGGAAACATCCAGAAGGAAGCAAAAAATATCCTACTGATTCCAAGGGTTTTAAAATAAAGCATTAAAAAATCTGAACTTTTCTGTCAGATCTCTGACATGAAGGTCATGGTAGAGGAACCTCTCATTTAAGGCCCGAAAGAAAAAGATTTACGGTCACAAGCTACCATTTGTGGCATCATTTATTCTCCAGCTTACAAATTCTCCCCAAAAGAGATGGAACCACTTAAGACCCTTTTCTATCTGAGTTTTCTATACTAATTACAGGCCTGGACTTCTCAGACTGCACACCTGCAGATGTGATCATTCAGACAGATACAAGATGACCTGCCTTGCACATATACCTTATTCAACAAAAGGAAAAAGGGAAGCCGCAGGGTTTCAATTACCTTCCAGCAAAGTTGGTAGAAACATTACAAACCTGATGTTTCACTGGGAAAAAAGAGGGAAGCTACAAGGCATCCTCTTTTTTCCTGATGAAGACATCCTATTCCTTCTCATTCCCCTGCAACATGGCAATTGAGACAGCCTGGATCATGGGGCAGCAGGAAAGCTGAAAGCATAGATAGGCAACCTTTTTCAGCACTTCAAAAATTATTATAATTACAGGTAATCCTTGTTCAGTGACCACTTGTTCAGTGACCATTCGAAGTTACAACGGTGCTGAACAAGGAGTTATAACTGCTCCTCACAGTCGCGACCATCACACCATCCCCGTAGTGACATGATCATGATTTGGATGCTTGGCAAGGTTGAAATTTCTCACTCTATTTTTTAGGAATCTGGGAGTTATGAAAATAGCTTCTGGAAGGTATAACATGCATTTTATATCTTAAACTGTCAAAAAATATAAAACACCGAACTATTTTGCCACCAAATTTTG